TATCTATCTATCTATCTATCTATCTATCTATCTATCTATCTATCTATCTATCTATCTATCTATCTATCTATCTGAATATGAGAAAAAGGCAGCAGAAGCTGAGAGGTTTAGGTGATAATCCAGTTTCAAGTTCACTGTCAGCCATGGAAGCTCACTGGGAGATTTTGGGTCAATCATTCTCTCTTAGCAAAACCTATGGGGTTAGTTAGAGTGCCACATATATCCTCTTGAATTCCTGAAGAAAAGGTAGGATCTAAATTTAACAAAGAAATAAATAAGGTAGCGTTCAAACTTTTAACAATTATTGCATAGCAATCATAATGGTCAAAGCTTTATTGACAATTGAAAATGGAAGCCCATGCAAGACAAGAGCTTGGAAAAATTGTATGTATCTGCATATTCTTTAAGAAAATATACCTTTCTCAGGTGAGTAGAGACATTCCTCATAACCAACCAACTGCATATTTTATTTTAGCTCGCTTATGGCTCATTTGCCCCAAAGAAGCATGGAACAAAGATGGCTGCTTCCTTTTATTGCATGGCTCCCAATGAAACCTTTCAGATTGTGGGGATTATCTATTTGCTTAAGCATTTTGGATGGAGGTGGGTTGGCCTTTTTCTTATGGACGATGACAGTGGAGACAATTTCATCCAAGTCCTGGACCCACTTCTTTCTAAGAATAGGATCTGCTCTGCTTTTGTGGAGAGAATTCCCAAACAAGCATTTCGGTTTACTCATCAAGTATACTATGATAAAGTGTTTAGGCTAGATATTTATTTGACCGACCCCAAAGTCAGTACACTCATCTTCTATGGGGAAAGCATCACGGCAATGCTTCTGTTTATGTTCATGAAATATATAGACCAAAGCATTGGAAAAGTGTGGATTCTGACCGCTCAGATTGATTTAGCATTAACAAGCCTTCATCAAGCCTCAGACTTGCAAGTGTTCAATGGAGCAATTTCCTTTGCGATTCACTCAAATGAACTGCCAGGATTCTTTGAATTCCTTTGGACCATGAAACCATTCTGGACCCAATCAAATAGTTTGTTGAAAGAGTTCTGGGAGCAAAGCTTTGATTGCTTCTTTTCAAAGAGCAATGGACCAGTGGAAAGTGATGAAGAATGTACTGGGAAGGAAGAGCTAAAATCCCTTCCTGGGCATTTATTTGAAATGACCGGCCACAGCTATAGTATCTACAATGCAGTCTATGCTGTAGCGCATGCTTTTCATGACATGAACTTACTGAGGTCTAAATACAAAGCAGTAGCAGAGAGTACAACTGATGAACTTCAAGATCGAGGCACCTGGAAGGTAATATCTTGTGAATGAAGCACCTTCATTGCCAGGAACAGATTAGTACCAAGTAAAGGAATACTGAGTGTTTTCCTCTTTCTCAAATGAGTGAGGAGGTAGAGGTGTATACAAGACCTGTGGAAAGTGACTTATTCACTTCTGCAAAGAGGCTCATATTGACACGATCCTCTTCATTCAAGTAAGGCAGTGATATGATTCACTATGACTTGGGACTGAGTTACCTAAGGGACTGTCTTCTCCCAGTTGTTTTTACCCATCCAATTTGGCCCAGCAGGCTGAGTAAGTTATGGGTTCTATCAGCCAAGGAATATTGACTGGCGGGGACTAGGAGATGTGCCTTCTCTGCCATAGACCCTGCCCTCTGGAACATTCTCCCTTCAGAGATTGGGATGACCCCGACCCTGTTGGCCTTTCGTAAGGCTGTGAAGACCTGGTTATGTGCCTGGGCCTGGGGCCCTGAGTGAGTTAAGGACCCTGTTTCTTGGCTATATTAACATCTATGGCAATAGTTTTACTTGGCGACCATATATATTTATTTGAATTGTTTTGTTTTATGTTTTTATGATTGTATGCTGCCCAGAGTCACTTGTTGAGATGGGCAGCTACAGAAATCAAATAAATAAATAAGTCAATAAATAAATAAGCCAATAAATAAATAAATAAATAAATAAATAAATAAATAAATAAATACATAAGCCAATAAATAAATACATAAGCCAATAAATAAATAAATAAATAAATAAATAAATAAATAAATAAATAAATGTGACAGAGCAATTCACATTGTCCTGAACTACGGGTCAGTGCTGCAGAAGTCTCTTCTCAGCCCTCTCTAGCAGTGCTGGCTGAAGGTCTTCATTGTTGGGTGGCTTTGACCCAAGTGTGGGATTCACTATCTGTTGAAGCCACCCAGCTTAGAATACTTTCAGAATGTGCCTAATAGTCACTAATCTGGTGCTGATCTTGCTAAAGCTGGGTGGGGTGTGTTGCAAGATGGACTGTACATGGCAGTCTGGAAGATCTTTGGCAGAGGCTGAAGGTAGCATGCCTGAAAACAGTTTTGCAGGAGAAGGTTGAGAGGGACTGTTAAATGGAGTGCACGGGTGCTTCATTTCAACCTTGCAAGATCATTGCTTCCCAAAGCAGCTTCTAAGGGGCATTGTGAACCTTTAAATCAACGTGTCCAGTGCTGGTCACCACAATACAAGAAGGATCCTGAGGCACTGGAAAAAGTGCAAACAAGAGTGACAAAGATGATGAGGGCCTGGAGGCTTAGATCTTATGAAATTAAATGAGCTGGATGCAATTAGCCTAAAGAAGAAAAAGTTAAGGAGAGGCATGATCAGTCTTCCAGTAGTTGAAGGGCTGTCACCCAGAAGAATGTGTGGAATTATTCTCCATAGCACCTGAGGGAACCACAAGAACTTTACCAACTGAGTAATATATACTTCCATAAGTCCCCATTTCTTCGTCTACTTTGAATTTGAAGGCAACTACAATTTCCACTGGCAAAAGATACGTCTCTTATGTTGGGTGAGATGACAAAATAAACAATGAAAATGCTTGCTTCCGAATCTCAGTATAAAGTCTTCAATGGATTGGATTTTGATAGCGTCCAGTTCTGGAAATCATGCTAAGCCATGAGGTGGCTTGTTTTGCTTTTGAACCTAGTTTTTATGACTGCAACGATGTCAGTATGGTAACATGTGCGTCATGATACCATTGATGCACATACAATAACTTGAAGATGTCATGATGGTCATATCACTGTTTGCCCCATTTTTGTCCCTCTTCTGGAAGCCCATAATTGTGACTTATGCAACCTGTCATGGTTTAGTTATAGTGAAACTTAAAATTGACTGACAGAAATCAGTGGGACTTAGTAATGCCCCATTCATTTCCATAGAGATAAATTTGAGGAAGTCTTGATGTAATCCACTGCGTTGTTTCCTCTTATTTGTTCCCTATCCTTTTTTTTTTTAGCTTCACTTGTTTCTTCAAGGCCTTTCATTTAATAATTCACTTGGAGAAACTGTGTCCATCAACAATCATGGGGAACTGCTTTCTGGCTTTGATATTACAAATGTTGTCATTTTTCCAAACAACTCCTACCTTAAAGTGAAAATTGGGAAAATAGATTCCAAAGCATTTGAAGGAAAAGAATTTGTGATTCATGAACATTTAATTGCGTGGCCCAAATATTTTAACCAGGTATGGATTTTGAGGTATTTATTATACTGGATGAAAGATTTGGCGATCAGGGATGTGTTTTACTGTATAGTCTGCTTTCAGATTCTTTAATCAGTTGAAATTAAACACTCTGTATTCAAAGTATGGCTGTTTTTTCCTGCTCTGGGGAAATTATAATGGGCAAAAAATTTCAGGTTTTTGTTTACGGGGCTAGATGTGGAATTTTGCTATTACTCCCAGCCCCAAGAAAACAATGAAATAAAATTCAAGAATAATTAAGTAATAAATATTAAAAAATAATTGAGAAGAAGATAAAAAGTGCTCCCACCCACTTCTGACAGGTCACAAGAAGTTTTAGACAATCAGTGAGCTGACAAATGTTGTATATCCTGGCTTCATTGGGCCTGTCAAAGCAAAGCTTCTGACTTAGTTGTATGAACAATGGTGTAAAATGTGAGTACCTGACTCTTAATGTCATGGATGGGAAAAGAACACCCAAAAGTCCATCAACTAGAAAGAGCAGGAGGAAAATGTTTAATCCCTGGAGCCAACTCCACATTCCTATCTGCATGCTATCATCCATCCATCCATCCATCCATCCATCCATCCATCCATCCATCCATCCATGACTTGATTCCTGTGTTCTCCATCAGGCAGATCTTCTATGTAGCCATGTTTCCTTCTCTTCAATAAACAACTTATTCAGAAGCATTGAAGATTCTGCTGATAAACTGGTTTCTGAATGAAGGATTGAGTTTCTGAAATAATAAAAGATTTACTCCTGTGACTGTCCTGAAGTCCTGTCCTATCCTCACATTTTAGTCTTTTCCCTTCTAGCTCCTACTCTTTGGAATCAATTCCATCTTGAACAACATTTGTAGTCTGATCTTATGAGATTCAGATGCTTCTTTTTTCAGGCTTTTTAGGGTGCTGGGAGAACCATATTTTTGGTTGCTGCATCCGATACCTGTTTAAATTACGATTTAATGCTGGGGTTAGAGAGCATCTGAAAAATTGATTATTCTAACTCTGTGTATGTCTCTGTATACACAAAGAGGTTGTAAGTCCTTTATTTCAGTCACTTACCAGCTAGTGCACAGAGGCACACTTAAGGTTGTGATTTTTTATTTGTTGTCTGCTTGTACTAAACTAAATATTAAGTCTCACACCATGTTTCTTTTGAACCACTTCTCCTTTTTTTTCAGTTAATCGGGGGGGGGGGGCATGAAGCTTGGATGTAATGATCTGCAATATTTAAGAAATTATTTGGAGAGATTTCCAGGTGCTGGCCTTCATTTCATGATCCTATGACCCTTGCTACTCTATTTGTGCAGGTAGATCAGAGGATGACTACTTAGTATTACTCAAGTCTTCAGTCCTGAATTCTGTCCCTGTTTACCAATAGGTCTTGCCCATTTCCGTGTGTAATAATCCATGTTATGCTGGCTATCAGAAGAAAAAAAAGGAAGGGCAGAAATTTTGCTGCTATGATTGTGATCCATGTCCTGATGGGAAGATTTCAAACATGTTGGGTAAATTATTCTCTCCTCTCCTCTCCTCTCCTCTGTGATATATTACATTTTCCCTGCAAAATTGACCAGATAGTTATCATATAAATTATATATGTAGATAATTTGCTTGCTTCATTGATTCCAATACCAATTCTCATACTGGAAGATTTCACAACGTGGTATATATAAAATTGGGTAATACCACAGTGAAAAGCTTTCAAATAATTCCTAAGATGAACAATAAGTACATTAGATAGGCAGACAGACAGATTCCCCTACATATATTGGTGCCCACAGAAGAGTAAAAAACAACAACACAACTTTGACCATGTGATTGAAACCCAACCTCTTATTTTACATGCATGTAATATATGTGACACCTGTTAAAAATGGCCAGGGCTTCAGTCACACAGTTGTGCCCATCATCTTGGCTTTTTGGAAACCCCTGTGGACAACCCTGCTTATATGCATCCATGCCTAAGACCCAGACAAGAAAAGCCGGAAGGGATGGGTCTTCAGGAATCTTTCCAGTTTGGTGCTTCCTGACTGTGATTATCACTAACAGAGAAGATTCCCACTTCAGTAAGTTACTTTTAGATCTCGTTTATTGATCTAATCCAGTGTTTTTCAAACTTGGACACCTTAAGAGGTGTGGACTTCAACTCCCAGAATTGCCCAGCAGAATTCTGGGAGTTGAAGTCCAGACCTCTTAAAGTGACCAAGTTTGAAAAACACCAATCTAATCCAATATAAATAAATTATTGTGATGGACTGGAATGGAGGAAGGGGGGTGAAAATGGTGTTCTTGTCTCCAGAGCAACGCTCTGGAGATAAGCGGAGAAAGCTGGCGCATCCCTAAACATTCCGGAAGATAGTAGAGAGTTGTGCCTGGGAACTACTGGTGAGTCTGAAAAGATTGATGTCAA